CCCTCCCCCCCCCCCCCCCCCCCCCTCCTTCTCTACATACACTGACCCCACCAGTTCTCTCCTATCTTCTTTTAACTCTCTTAAATTGGCTCAAATTCATTTTTTGAATCTCGAAATGTCAACCTGTTGTTGTCTACTTATTTTTCAGCTTTAACTAGATAGAATCATTAGATTACCGCAGCAACTTCTAATAAAATCCTGAATTTTAAATCCACAAAGCATAAAAAGTTAATGGGTAAGGAGTTATACGAAATTGGATTAGATGGGAAACTCAAATTGAAGTTGTTGCAAAGCCCCCACAAAGTGCAATTAGGATAAGTGGGGATGAGGAGATGGGTCACGTGGATAAATATTGCGCCACTCGCTCGAAATGCTATTTCAGATCTGTAAACGCCAATTTCCAGGAGATGAGAGGCTAATCAAAAATTTTGGTTGACCTATGAATTTAATTTAATTTAATTTTTTTACTTAGACAGGGCATATTCCCACAACGTGGAAAATTGGATTTTGGCTTGCGAATCCACCTGAAGGCGCCCGCATTAAACTAAGTGCTCTTCTTAGAAAAATAGAAACTTATTAAACTGAAACTCTTGGCTTGATTTACTACATTTTTATAAAGTATTTTCTTTTACTATGTGAGCCCCATCCATATGCTAACTAACATTTCAAAACTGGGTTAATTTTCTAAGCCATTCCTCAATTTTTGCAAACTTATTATATTTATAAGAGCAAGGCGAATCCTCCCAATGATATAGATAATAAAATTGAAGTTGGTTAATTACGGCAATCGAACTTAATTAAAGCCCTAGTTGCATCTAGTTGCTCCATCTAGTTGGAGGAGACGTCTCCTTTCAACTTGCCCAAGATAAAGAAAAGTGTGGAGCCGTCAACTGCGACAAAACTCGGGTAAAATAGAAGAAAATGTGTCGCAATTTATGAGAAAAATGCATTGTAAATCACTTGAGGGTTTTGCGTACTTTTTAAGCTTCTGACTTAGCTGCTTAAAAATTGTGAAATCGCCAAACATGAGATGACTTTTTTGCGCAGTAAAACGAAATTTTTGGGATTTAATATGTGAATGGGATAAGTGAAGAGAATTAACATGACATAAGTGGTGGTTAAGGCTTCTTTCAGGAATTTTTGCTTTCCTTTTCGTCTGTGATCAGACGTATTTCAAAGAATTGAGGTTCTCCACTCCAACTATAAGACGAAACATTGGAAGTGTTCTGCGTTTGAATTCACTGCCTCATTCAAGCTCTCCGCTTGTTTACTGTGACCCAGTTTCAGGATGCAGACATTGTGCTCGTTAACTGCCAACCGCTCAGAAAATTATTTTTCGTATCATTTTTCCAAAACTCATTTTTAGACTCTCAGTTAAATAAAAGCACATTGTTTGTGAATTTTGTGAATTTTGAATTTTCAAACACAATTTTGCATTAAAAATTTTACAGTATTGTTTGCGTACAGGAAGGAAATATACGCTCTCAAAGATTGCCTGAGATATTTGGTGGCAAATCAAAACATTGAACTCCGTTCAAATGCTCTTCATTGGAGCCCGATTGGCCAGATTTTCGAATGGGACTTTAATTGAAATGTACTTTTTCAGAGTTTGTGAGCGCTTTGCGAATGAAAGTAGTGACCTAAGTTAACGTGATCCCATGAAGTGAAAACGCAAATAATGAACCGATCACATGCGTCAACCTTCTCACTGAGTTTATAACTTGGCTTTCTCTATTTATAATTTGGTGGGGCGTTTAACCCTTCGGCAGCTCTCCTAAACCCTGTGGTTCCGTTTGCCATCGGTACTGACCTCTTGTGACTTTCGGTTCTAATCGCCTTATCGCCTTTCGTTATAAGGAAACTAAATATACAAGCAGCAAATACTAACCCACTAACCTCGAATAGCTCAAATTGGACTTGTTTGGCACTAAAGTTGGTATTCACGAAAATATCGTCCCATTAGCTTCGTTGAACTGCCTGAGAATTATACTAGTGACAGGTAAGTAGATTTTGAGGAGCACAAAACTAAAAAGAGGTTGCACGCCAAATTCCTCCTGTCAGCCTCAAATACGTCAAGTGCTGGTGATCGTTAAATCTCAGCTAATAGGTCTATTTTCTGGCCCCAATGAATACAATAAGCGATTTATAACGCAACACAAAAATAGGTAGGATGGAAAGCAATCAGCTTAAATTCTCATATTCATCATAATTTTTCATTGCCAGCAATAGTGATAATAGAAAGTTGGAAGCAATTAAAATAACAACATAACCTAGTGACCTGAAGAAGCAGAGATAGAAGTCAAACAGGAGGACTGGTTAGCACTGCAGAGATGGACAACGAGATGCGGCGAAAAGGGTCTACGTAGAGGGCGTCTGGACACTGGCATCTGCCCAGGGTGCATTCGGAGCGGTGACACTAGCAGAAAGCGCGTCGCCCACAGTTTCAATCCGTGGTTGAACAGCTGAAGTCGCCTGTGGCTGACGTGGTGGTCTGGACGTCAGTACTCCCTCCTGTGAAAAAATCACGAAATCGAAATATTTTTTGATTTAATAAAGGTTTCCTAATGGAATATTTTCGTCACACTAACTTCATCTTTCGTTCACCAGATTATCGTTTCAATTAGTTTCCAACACTCACAACCAGATATACTAAATCACATTTATAGAAACTGTCACTATGTAGGCAACCACCCGTTTATTACTTATTAAAGCCTTTATCATATTATTATTTATTTTATTAACTGAACAAAACAGACGCTTGAACGATAGCTCGTCTCTCCTTCTCGAGGTTGAATAGTTGCCTTTATAAAAAAGGTAAATCCAGAGTCAAATTTGAGTGAAGAAATTAACAAATTTAAGGAACAAAAAGTGCGATAAATCCGTTTTAAAGCCCACTTCTTGAAGATGTTTAAACGCTCGCAATAAATGTGTTTGAAGAAGCTTATATATTTCAGAGGATTTCTGAATCCAAAGCGCGGGCAATTGTGCAAAAACAAAAATTGATGAAAATAGTTATTTCGACACATGATATTACCAAATCATACCAATTCCAAGGCTCAGCTTTAGTTAGTTCAATAAATCCATGCAATTTAAGACCCACCATATCGCCATGATATGTTACCCAGGGGAACTGGATGTCAAAACTTCCGAAGTGATTAAATGACAGTCGATCACTGAGTTTTCTGAGACCTTGAGACCTAATCCTCAGATTTTAATTTCGGATCTTTTGGTCATGAATAAGTGACTCATGGTTGGGGCAAAAGAATCCCGGATGAAGAAGGATTATAAGACATGTGCTCATTTTATGACCAGGATCTACTGATTCACCTCTGTTGCCCATTTGATGGATCAGTTTCCATTTATCATAAAAAGTCTAGTAAAAGTATTGGTCGTGTTGTTGCAATGAAGAACAATTTTGACAGAAACTAGTCATTTAGTTAGCCAATAAAATGCTGCTTTCTATTTCTAATTACCCCAATTCGCATAAATTAGGTTCGTTTTTCCTTACCAGCAGTTTGCTCTAGTGAATTCGTAGCCGGTGAATCATGGGAAAGCTAGCGCAATACAATTAAGTCATTAATGGTCTTCATCACTCATGTTTTTTTAATTTGCATGCTAGTATGATGTTACGAAATGTTCCAACAATACCGCTGGTCATTTTATCCGTTCATGCGAATTATGGTTTTTTTATTCGTGCTTAAATAATCTTTTTTAACTATATAAGATTTAACCAACAAAAGCTAGCTATGCCTTGATATGCGTAATTAGCGGAAACTCAGACTAAACAAAGTGCAAAGCTTGTTCTGAAGGTCATCACTATGACGGCGTTTAAAAATCTCTTCCGGGCTATTGTTTTTCTTTTGCTTTAGATGCTCCGCCATTTCGTCTCTTCGGCGATCGCAAATTCAATGACCCCAAATCACCACTGCGATTGAGTCTATTCCCCATTCTTCTTTTCTGATCTTTTTTCACATCAACTCGGAATTGAGTAGGGGGGGGGAGGTACTGCGCATTCTGCTTATTGTGTACAAACACCCTACAAATTCATGTCTCTTTCAATTGCGCAGCGAAATTTTGCCATTAAGTTCATCCGACTCTCAGATAGGTCGACATTATGTCCTAATTAATGGCGCAAGCAGAATATTTCAAAACTTGAATAAACATTACACACCTTGGAAGGAGTTGGATACTCAACAACAATGCGATGGTTGATAGGATAGAACACAACATTGGCCTTTAATTAGCCAACAAAATAACTCCAAATTAAGTAAAAATAAATAGGAAAAGTTAAATATGGAATTTCCGGCTTTTGAACCAATACAAAATCCAGTTTAATGTCACCTGCATCTTCGATCCTTTTAGGTCTATTTCACCCCACTTCCAGAAAACTAGCCGGTATAACCATTAAACGACCGTTGAGCTGATTGGCCAATGACGATTGAATTACTGAGTCTGAGCACGTGAAGCTCACCGCATTGACAAGGGTGAGGGCTTCGCCTGGATACGTTTTGGGCTTCCGAGCACCTACGTTCCTATCACCGCCCTTTAAGTAGACTTTCCGAAATCTAGTCTCATTTTGTGGTGTTTAAATTTATGACTTTAAGCAAGCTGGCTACTATTAGTACTTCCAGGCTTTGATGCGGAATTTTTCCTATTTAAGCGAAAAAATCGAGTGCCAGAATAGTGGAGATGAGATGAAACTGACGTCGTGCACCTCGGTAGCTGGTCGGCTGAGGTCGGGAGAGAGCGAGGAGAGGCCCTCGTGGGAGTGCGCCAGGGTGGAGGGGAGGTGACTCAGCGAGGACACAAAAGCGATTGGCAGTCGACTCGTTGACATGTAGAGCTGACGTCTGGTCGCCTCATGCGACAGCTGCTCGTTCAACATTCTCACCTGGAATATCAAGAAAATGACCTTCTTACATTGTGCTGATGGCATAAACCGACCTATTAGAACATCAAGGCAGAAAGTGAACGCCAAATCCAAAGTGAGTTGCAAAATATTTTGCTTTCCGAAGAAGTGGAATAAGAGTTGTACAGGATTCAAGGAAATTACGTTGAATAGGACACACCATTCGGGTGTGTCTAAATATAACAAAAACACGCATAAGTAGAGCCTATTGATATTCCAATAGGTTTGCAAGGGGGTGGGGGGTGGTGGGGATTCATTTAATAGCTTCAGGTTTTGGAAAGCATCTTAAAATGTCATCGAAATCTTTTCCTTGTTTGATAAGAATAAGGAGCACCCAAGCTCGACAAAATTGAGGAGGATTGTAAGATACCAAACCGAATGCAGTTATCCATTCATCCAAATATACTAATAGATCATTGCAATGAGATAAAATGGAAACCAAAAAATAGACATTCCTGAGGAAGAAATCACTCAGGCACTCAAGTGGCGTTTCCTTCTGTCTCAGAACCATTTCTATGAGTATCCTTGCATTTTTCCCAAAGTTCAACGAGAAGATCTTATCAATTTCACAACGTTAGCATTAGGCACATTACTAAAGCATACTGTAGAAATTAGTGTCCTATATTTTGCATAATCATTTCATTTAGCATGTGCCAATGAACACATGTTGCACTGTTTTAGCATGTCTTTCCTATGGAGCTATTTCTAATTAATTTCATAAACGCAGTCCTATTCTGTACTAGCACAATAAAATTCATTCAATTATTGAAGCAGTCCAATGTAGTGGAGTTAATCGAATCAAGATAAGTAGGAACTGTAGAGCCATCGGAGAACTTGCCTGATCTTCAAGAGATTTGACACGTTTGCGATGGCTTTGCTCCTTGGCATGAAGAGACTTTTCGCATTGCTGCAAGGCGCTACATTTCCTCTCTAATTCCTTCTCAATCTGTGCATGGCGCTGTCGAAGGAGCTCGTCCAGACGAGTGGCATGTGATTCCTCTCTCAACGCCAACTGCGCCTGGGGAATACACAAAAATCGCCCACAGTGTTACATTATCAAATTGCGTGAAGAGATGGTGCATCTAGTGAATCGATACGACCTACATTGAGTCTCTGTATCTGGCGTCGGTAGTCCAGATTCTCCTCCTCCAGTTTGTTTGAGCGCTTGCGGATGTCCTCCTGACTCGATACCAACAGATTGTTCAATTCCTTTTCACGGAGTCTCTCTCTCACCATCTTCCAAATTACAAATCAAAACGTTGAGGGTTAATTCACTTTATTAACCTTATTACGCAGCTGATAATGAAAATTAACTTACGTGTTCGAATTCTATATGCAATTCTTTGAGCTTTTCACGCAGCTCCTTGTTGTCGCGCTCATATTCCTTTTGTGAATTCTCCAAATCAGATTTAGCCCCTTGCAGATCATCCAACCTTGTCTGTACTTTCTCTTTCTCAACTACAAAGCAGAAGTTAAGAAGTGAGCACTATGAGTGAACGCAAGGTCATCCTCGTTCTTGGACCTACGCTTTAAATTGATGACTTGATGAGTGAGGTCCTTCTGAAGGGATTCCAGCTCCTCAAGTTGTCTCGTGAGCTGGCGATTCTGGTTCTCCAGCTCACAGCGTGCCAAGTCAGTGTCTGTCAGCTGACCCTGCAGTTTCTGAAAACGCGAATTCAGCTGTTCCAGTTGCTCTTTACTGGCGTTCAGACACTTTTGCGTGCTGTCCAAGCGCTCCTTGGGCCAAAAGAAAACACACATTTGATAGGTATTTTCGTAATAAAGCAGTGCCATAAAGACAATCACCATTCGGAACAACAAAGCCCAGGGGAGGTGCCACTAACTTATATTTGGGTTTTGAGTCAAGATTTGGAACAAATTTCTCATCTAAAATCTGTTCCCGATGAAGGACAAAATTTACATGAACAGATGTTATTTCTGTGGATCTTTATGCACAAACATTGAATCACCATCCACATTTTGATTATTCTGTATTAAAGTAACCTATATCAACCACCTTCTTCGCCTTCAATGTCGCTTCAAAAAGTCGCGTTTTTTTCCTTCTCGAATCCAGTGTGAAAGCATTGTTTGTAATGGAGTTGGAGGGCTTACAAAATGCTAGATTCCCCTGAATGACTTTCATCAACATTATTTTAAGAATTCAGAAACATGGATCTTTTTGTTTTGAAGGGGGGGGGGGTGTTGAGAGGGAGGTGCTAAGTAGACGAAAATGCTGCAGTGGCCTCTTCCTGATCAATTTGAGGCTCCTTACTCGCCTTTCATGATCTCAAGTTTCGTAAATGGAGCACTCCATACGTGTCTACACTCCTGTCCTAACAAAATTTTCTCGATTCATTCCTGGTTCCTCTCCTTCCACTCTGTTCTCTTCATATTCCATATTTTCTAGGCATTCAAAACCGATAGCTCAAGGAAGAGGCAATTAATCGGACGTCTTAGTGGCTTTCTGCTCACAGCAGATACCTCCACTCTGTCACAGAGCTTAAAGGCAAATGGACAGTTAGCACCCAAAGGGTGTCAAAATATATTATCCCCTCTCTACTGGCCAAAAAAATAGAAAATTCTCGAATAAAACTTTATCACCTACAAGCGAAAATCAAGGCACATTATGCGCCAGTAATTGACTTTTCATAACAGTCATGTGACGTAAGGATATGATTCCGTACCGTTTTCAAAATGGTGATCAATATGGGGAGGTGGGAAGAAGGAAAGATGCGACAATTCTTAGCTCCGCACCTCGGGACGCTTCATTCACCCTCAGTTGCCATGTGAGATGGCTCCATATGACATTGCACTTAGAATGAGTTCTCAGACTAGTGTTTCAGAGGGTAAAAAGAGAACCTCACGTACACCCCTCCCCCACTGAAGTTATAATTCAAATGTTATGTTTAATAAATTCAGCCAAAATGTGATCTTTAAGATTAATGATTGAAAGTGCCTAAAAATAATCCGTTCCTCATAGATTAAGAACAATTGAATAAGGAAATTCTATTAAACTGACAGTTGCTATGTGACGAAATAAATACTTCAGGATGAAATGGATAATCAGCTAATTAAATGACCCTGTCAAAAAGCACTGAGAACCAACCCAATCTCAACCTGGCGTTGAATTCTATAGCACAGTAGTTTTTTAAGGACTAAACTGTCACTAGCACTAAGAATTACCTGAAGGAGGTGCTGGTTGTGATCGGCATTGTCCAGAAGGCGCTGAATAGCTGTGATCCTTTCCTGAAGTTGTGCATTCTGTGTTTCCAAGTCTGCACATCGATCAGCACATGTCTGTGCCCGAGAGCGGGCTTCAGTCTCCCTTCGTGAGGCCTCCTCGTGTTGAGCAGACAGTCGCTCAATCGCCAACGTCGTCTCCTCTGCTCGGCGCTCCAACTCCGCTAGTGTACTCGTCAGACTACCCAATCGAACCTTCAGAGCCTAGGAGGAATCATTACTTCGTACTTGATTATCACCAATTTTACTTAAGAATACGACGCTCACTTCTTTTATGTGGCTGAAAATCGCCACTTTGCATGAAGTCAACAGATCCAAAATCTTTAGCTACTCGTTAAAGAAGATAAAATCGATCTCAAAATTGCAGTAAAATTTGCTGTGCAAGGAAAACAGGTACAAATAGTCTCAAAACTCCAATTTCGAGATGCCTAGAATTTGTGAAAAAGTGCGTTTTACGCTGTCATGCACAATTCTTGTTAGAGTAAGAACAATTCTAATCTGCTCACAGAGGAGTTCTTTCAAAATTTTCCCGACTAAACCGAAACAAAATCACAAATTTGCTTGGCTCAAATAGGGAAAACAGATTTCGCAATGAAGTAATTAATGAGTAATTGGTTAAAAGTTTCGGGTTTTATTTTGAAATTGAACGACATGTGGTTTATCGAATATTTTTCTACACGTGAACCTGCTTAAGCGTTCGATCATTCACGCATTCCATCTCTTCCTCATTGCCATGTTTACCCCAAGCATCCTCACCATCATGTTTCTATCAGAAATTTCTTCAACTTGGATGCCCACTTCTTGACGTGGAAGTTTTCAAAACTGATAATTTCATACCTAAGTCACGTAGTTTGTTGGAAAAAAAACCAATTTCCAAACCAGCCGAAGCGTGATAATAACCTTTTGAAAAAGGTGGAAAATGTCTGAAGACAATTATCAATACACTTGAATAGGATAACCAACAGATGGTTTCAGAGTTGGCCAATAATTTTGATCCTTCTTCAACAAGACGCCACTATGGTGCTTATTAGGAAAATACAGCGTTCTTTTCAAAGGTTCCATAATCATGCGTTTTCTGCCAGCCTTAGACATGCGAATATATCATTCATTAGGGCCCACTGGAATAAATACCATTCTGTACAATGATTTCAACATTTTATCTCTTCGGCATTATTGTTGGTCTGTAAATGCATAATAAAGATTAATATACGGCTACCATGTAAGCCAATTGTATAGATTGTTTTTAAGATGCCATTTGAAATTGATCCAAATTGATCAAGTTTGTACCTTAATTTCATCTGTTTTTTCCGTGTTTATCGCCTTTTGGTGGCTAAGATCAGACTCCAGAGATTTTCGCGCAGATTCTGAAACAGCAAGGCGCTCTTTAGCATCTTCAAGAGAGATCCTAAGTTCCTTCTTCTGTTCTTCAGCAGCCCTTGCTTCCATCGCCTTCGAAGCGTTTAATCTCTCTTGAATGGCTCTGGAATCCTCCCGCAGGAGTTTTAAACTTTTTTGCAGCTCTTCCATTCGCACCATTGCCTCGTCTCGCTCCCTCGACACCCGCCGCAACTCCGAATCCTGGTTTTGGAAATCAGAACGTGATTCGCGTAGTTGATCTGACAGCGCCTTTTGCTCTGAAATAATGCCATATTTATCATGCTTCCAATAAAATCAATAAAATGTGCACTATAAGTTAAAGCGTTACCTTCTTCTAAGGAATTGATGATTTGTCGAAGCTGCTGAATCTCATCATAACGTTCGTTGAGTTGGGAAGTGGTAGTTAGAAGCTCTTCCTCACAGACACGTTTGCTCATGAGTGCATCATCACGTTCATTTTCCAGTTCCGCTAACTGATTTAACATTTCTCGAATGGTGTACCCTACTGCCTCTGGGTCAAGGTCAGAAGTCAAGGATTGGGATCGCTCTCCACGTGCACAGCGGAGACCGGATTGACTGCCATGCAAGTCGACAGACGATGTCAAATTGGCCTGCTGCCTCTCTTCGAACTCCACCTCTGTCCACTCTTGTGGCAAATGACTACCTCTCCTCTTAGACGAATGCGACTTCGAATCCGGTTTCTCGAGTTCTGCATTTGCAGAGAAAGGATGGAAGTGTATGTTTAAAATGGTATCCATAGTAATTTTTCACTTCGTCGCTTTTGTTTAATTTACAGAGGCAAAGAGGATGAGGCTTAGTAATATACAAATTAACGACAAATTACTCCCTGTGAAACAAACGAATCATAACCCCATCACATTTATGCAAAAGAATAAAATTAAATAATTATTTTTTCATGCGGTAAACGTGAAAAAAGTTTTTTTTAATACTTCAATATTTCACATTTATTTCCCAACGCCTTGGTTTCTTTCCCTTCTGATTTTGGATGAGAGAAAATTATAGCAAGACTTTGTCAAAGTGCCGTCATTTCTAGTGGACTATCTGCTGCATAAATCAGAATTGAAATCATTGAATTTGGTGAGGCTTCTTGAAACCGATCACCTTTTGCCCTCAAATTAATAATTGGTCCATGATAAATAATTTGAATAAATTCCAATGAAAATGTTGGTAAGAAAGAACTTCCTCATAATTTCAATATTTGACATGGGTGTTAGTTGTGATCACGAGGATTTTTGACAATTCTTTGCTTTGGTAATTTGAGGTTAAATCGAGGATAAGGAGGAGTGCAGGCCATCGCCTCCATTTCCCTCTTTTTATCTTTTGCATCATAAAAATTGAAGTTGAGCGCTTAGCGCCATCGCTAAAGGTGATCAACTCAGTGAACAAATCAACTTGATATAATAACATGGGATCCCCGTGCTGAATTGAAACAGAGGCGTGTTTTGGTAACGTCGTAATCAAGACGTCGTGTGATGGATACGCGTAAAAATAGTTCTATTTACCACTGTTTTACCATCCTTAAGTGTTTATTATGAGGGCCGATTTTAACGTAGTCTCTTCGCTGAATGTGATCATGTCGTTATCATTTGGTCTTATGAAATTCAAATCAGATTTGTTACTTCCTCCTTTGCTAGACCCTCCTCTGGTGGACTGCTTCAGATCTTCCCAACTTTCACTTTAACCCCAAATCTGGGTTTATTTACAATAAATTTTCGTGATGAAATTGGTGTCACTTGAAAGTGTTTAAAAATTGACTCGGCTTATCTGCACTGATGATTTCAAGTGCAAGTCCTCCTCAAAAATTGCATGAAATTTTTAGACAAGGTAATTTTGGAGGTCGAATATCAGTCCACCTCAATTGCCTACAGCTATATTCGCGCGCCTCGATAGACTTACCTCTACGTGGTGTACCCGGGGCAATGTATTCTCATTCGCCAAGTCTATTAACCGACAGTTGACAACTTCAAACCACCCTGAACCAACTGTGTATCATATTCGGTCACTTCCACAGGGCTCACCTTCCCAAGTTCTCTACCTTTTAGCTTGTCTCTCTTTTACCTCTGTGAATCGCTCCTCTGTTCTTCCTTAGTCTTATTGCTCCTCCCATTTGTGAATCATGAAATCAACTAAAGGACTAATGATAACTATTATAATGTCTGTCATTTGTTATAAACCAACATAAGTATTCATGCGCCTCTAGTCTGCACAACTCGTGGCACACAGCTTCACCGCTGGATCACTATGGCAACGCAGTCATGTGATATCTATTGGCTCTACTCGGCTGTCCAAACAGTTCTCTCTCACATGTTCGCGTCCAGCAAGTGTTGGGCTCTCAGAGGCGCATGTTAACCTCTTGAATTCGTCTTAAATGTTATTACTGCAATGTTCCATTATTAATTTCCTTTTCTAAAAATAATTACTCTCTTTAAACACCTTCAACAGTCGGTGTATTTGTTCGTCCATATTTCAAATACCGAACTATAGGCCACTGCATTCCACGTTTCAACTTGAGTATGGAAGACCACCATAGGGAGGAGCCATTAGTTGGAAATACGGGTCAACTTGTCAGTCAATATGCTACACCTTTTCCACTGGTGTAAACAAGTACATCTTGTCGATTGCAGACAGCTGTTCGAGTTAGAAGTCTCATCGTCGCTCCAACTATGAGTACGCATCTCGATTAATTCCCCATAAAGTCGCCGATTAAGTAAGCTGCAATGAAAGCAGTTTCATTCTAATTCTTAATTTCACTATTGCAGAAGAAGATTTAAGCGTGTGGGAGTTAGAGATAGGTACGTATAAAGATACTGTTTTCAAAGGATTTTACAATTTAGCTGGAATGTATGTGGGTCGCAATGATGAATTAAAACAATCAAATTTACAATTCCATTTGTTAATCAGAGTGGATGCAATAATGAGCCACTCCATCACGTTCCCTGTTGCTTGAATATCCGGCCTGATGGAGGTGCCAGTCATCATTCAGGATCTCGTTGATGCCACCAAGCAGCCCAAATAAGCTCCCATCAACACGCGATGGGTTCCGTGTAACTGCTCACATACTCCTAACATTCTCCTTCTGACATTTTCATCCCATCTCATTGCGTTCCACTTCTTCACAAAACTCCTATTTTCTCCAGATCACTAACTCTGAAAGGGGGACACCTAAACCAAGATCATCACTGAAGTGTTTGTGGCTCATTTCTAAGACGCTCATCATTCATCCCAAGACTCGGCTACAAATTGCGCTCGACAGCTTCACATTTACTTTAGCAGTGATCTGATGCACCATTAGAAAATAATCAGTGAAGAAAAATGATTACTTTTTCCAGGTGAGGTAGATCCCTCTCGCGGCCTCACGGGGTCATCGCAGTAGCCTGTCTCAATGTCATCTGGTGGAAATGGTCGGCGCCGACGCTTGGAAAGGAGCATGAGGTTTGGCGAGGCACCGCGACGCTGGTGGAAGCCAAGAAGACGACGCAAGATGGAGTGGATGGCTGACAGACGCGACTCGGCTTCACTACGAGCCTCGTTGGCCACTCGCGTCTCCAACTCTGCCGCCGCGAGTCGTCGCGTTGCTAAATTCAGCGCCGCCTTCAGCTGCGCGTTCTCCTGCTCTGCCGACTCCAACTGCAAGGCAAAAAACACGTCCCACACTAAGAGCAATTTGATGATAAGGTGAAAATTCCTTAAAAACGCCTGTGCTTGAATGCTCGGAGTGCATGCAGTTCCAATTCAATTCAACGATAACGAATTAGTGTTGAAAATACAAGAGTTCACTCTGACATAGAAGTAATGAAATCACGATCGACAAAAGAAGACCTCTTCCACCCAAACATTAAAGTGCCAAGAGTGAAGAGATGGTGACTTCAATCTTTTCTAAGAAAGAAAAGACAAAATGCAATATTTGGTGCTAACGCTTGACTACATTGCTGTTTTTACACAAATTTAGCCGAAAGGTATTTGATCAATTACAATTTGTCAATTATTTCGTCAAAGTTAGAGTGTAAGCTTTGTTGTTGCTTGTGCACACATGTTATTTCGTATGATGCCACCTCTTGACTGTAGACGGCTTCAAATAAGCCGCATGTTAGTCGGAAACTTAGAGGCAAATGTCGAAAATCGATAGAAATTAATGGAAATAATGAAATAATCTATCAACGTAGCATATTTCAATTAATGAACAGGTAAGAAAAACGCAATTGGTAGATCATATGAAATACAGGCTGATTTCAATACAACCACGTGACTCAATAAAAAAATGGAATAATTAAGGCGCACTAAAATTAACTGAAATTTTTCTGTTTTGCGTATACCATATTGCAAGAATGGCATTTGCTTTCTTCACATCAATACGAATTTTATTATGTTTACCCACGGAGGAGTAAAACAGGCATTAGTTTTTCATTGTGGGAGCGCATCTGAGCCCCTTAAAGGCAAAGATTAAGGTTGGATTGACAGTAGACCATTCAGGTAAGTACACTGCTTCATCTTCCAGTATCTAAATCCCAGGTTTCATACTTCTTATATTTACGATGTTCAGAGCTCGATGATCGGTATTTTCTTTGCCACGGCCACTTAATTAAATATTGTAATTAGTTAGTCTATTGCTTGCACTCCTTTATTATTAATAACATATCACATACAGTCTTGCCATGGAGAAATTTCATTACTATTGTGCATGTACGAGCGGTCATTTATTTATATCAAATGGCAGGCTTTATGATAGTTGTCATTATAGACTTTTTTGCCGTATGAGTATACGTTGCCCAGGGTGCACCACGTGGAGGTAAGTCTATTGCGCACCCCCCGAGCGGTCATTAAATGCAAGGAATTGCGGTCAATCACAAACCCCTTTAGAGCTTCTTCCTTTAGGAAAATGATCAATACCCTTCCCGATGTGAGACACCGCTGGATCAGGCTCAAATGAAAAGAAGAACTCACGCGTGACTGGAGGATTCGCTCGAGTTCCTTGAGACGTCTGCAATCGAGTAGGACCTCCTCGACGTTGAGACCAGTTGGCCATTGACGGGAACGCGATCGATCCCCTGCATCTTCGACACAACTCCGAAAACTCGATAATTCGTCCTCCAACCGCCTTCGAGCGGTCTCGCTCTCTGCCAACTCCTTTCGCAATGCCGAGCACTCTCTGCGGGAGAAACAAATACGGAAGACGAAGTAACAAGGAGCCACAGACGAGGGTCTCTATCCTTCTTGGAATTATTGTTTATACCACGTGTTAGATTAAAGTTTTCAATCATTTCTAACTGGTCACTGAATTTCATCGCATAGACTAAGAAAGCAGAACAGGGATATCGAGTAAACATTTTCATTCGACCCCGCTACGCCGCTATTCAGGTACAAATTCACACACACACACACACACACACACACTAGTTCAAAGCTGCTCTCACGAAACTCTGGATCTCAAGCGCGTTCTCTCATTTCTCGTTCACCACTTCATTCTGATCCTCTTTCTTCATTGCCCTTCACATTCGGGTGTCTGCTATACAATTAAAATTTGGCCCAAACTAAATCCACGACATTCTCATTTAAAATGGCAGTTATCTGTTGTCAGCTTTAACTATAACTTTTTCATAACTGGTGACCCTTGGTTCGAAACCAAGTGAAAGAAGTTTGTATTCTGCCAGCCTCACCATCTTGAACTGTATTGACGGGAAGGGTGGATCATGCAAACAGCTCTCGTTACTCAATAAGTCAGGATTATTTGAACCTAATTTATGGCTTTTAGATGGTGATTACAAGTTCAATTCACTTCGCTAATCAAAAATTTATAATTTTGAGAAAAGAATTTTCCTTCTAAGGACTCAAGGGTATCATTGCATGTATATAAGAAGCAGAAGTAACGTCAAGATTGAATTACTGTAAGATCAAATTGTCATAACGAAGAAGGTTAACCAATTAAATTAGGTACAAATATTAACTACGTTATATTCATTTCTCAAGACAGAGGGAGGAGAGAGAGAAAGTGATTTAAAATCCTATGGAAATGAAAATTTTGAAAGCATTAGATAAAAAGGAATGCTTCATAAGAGAAATATAAGACAAACTTATTTGGAACTAAATTCGATACTTCTCTGCAGAATACCAGCCGTCTTCTAATTGTTCCTTTTAATTTTGCACATAAACTGATGCACAATACGCCATAGTTGGCCCCGCAAGAGAAAATCGATCTGCTGAATCAAAACCTCCCGCCCACTACTCCACCCCCAGGAAGAAATTTCCCACTGCCAATGCCAAATAGCGATTCAGTTGTTGTAGCAACAGCATAGGGAAAAATACAACACTAAGTAATTCTTTTGCTTTAGCCAACAATGAAAAAGTCACCCAACCCCCATACCCTCCATTTCTCGCATCAGAGATATGCCGAGGCCAGTAGAAGGAAACTGGAAGAAATTTCAGTCTATTCACCAGCGTCATATTTAATGCAAAGGATTAAAATTAAGTCAAAATGCACAGCTGTATGCCAATTAGGCTTTGCTTACCGTCGCCGATTTTTTTGATAAATTTTAAAAAGGCAACTCCAAGTTGTGTAAGTTACTAAAATCAAATGCTTAATCACATGAAACTGCTATGCAAACTCGGTTCATAAAGACAAGGATTTGATGCTTTTAAGTGCAAATCCTACTGTTTAACTTCTTCCAGTTGGTTAGTTCTCAATTCAGCGAAGTCCTGTTGCAAGCGGGCATTAGCAATCTCATACTCGGTTAGTTTCTGCCTCAAATCACTTATCAAGATATCATTATGTGATCTGGAAATTGGTATCGAGGAAGGAAATGGTGACTGGCCAGAGCTATCTGCCACTCCGCTATCACGACGAAAATGCTGTCTGAGTTCGCTTGCCTCCAGTCTGCCACGCATTTCATCCAGAGATCGACTTTGATCTGTCCTCTGCACTTCCGCATCCCGCATCTGACGCCGTAAATCCTGCACTATCGCCTCCAAAGCATTCTTAGTGCATTCCAACTCGGTTATCTGTCTTCGCTGATCATCCACCTCGCTTCGAAGGCTGCTACGACCTTCTTCAGCTGCAAAAATTTACAATTCTATTGAAAGCGATAAAGATAAGACGGGATGCAATTCTTTGATAAAACGCTACCTTCTCGAAGGAGTTTCGTGGCACGAGAAAACTCTGATCTGTGTGAAAATTCTGTTTCTTCATAAAGTCGAAGCTTTATTTTCGCTTCATTATTTTCGTGCACTGTTCGTTCAAGAGCCGCTTCAAGAGACTTCACCTGAGCCCGCAGATTCACAACTTCCGTCTCGTAATTCTTTCTACAAATAGCGCATTATTTAAAGAAAACTGGCATGATCGCCATTGCAAATCTTTTGTTTTAATTTCTTTTTTGGCTGTGTACAACTCTATGCTTTATATTTACTCATCTCTTTAGCTTATTGCATGCATTTGAGCCTCTTTCAATTGCTCATCTAACAAGCAAGGTGCAACTTCCGGCAATAGGGAAGTCAAAGGTGACTAAGGTGACAGGCAGAAAGTAGACATCGACTCCTTGCCACCTTTCGCGCAACTAGTCTCCTGGTTGTGCCCTGAAGGTTGTCCAACTTATACCTTGGAACTCTCCTTGCTCTGCTCTAACTATGCCAAGGCTGCGCGGTTGCCTGGCGTTGACCGCAGATTAACAGCAGTAAATTGCATTTCCCGAATCTGTACGCCAAGAGTGTCGAGTGATGAGATCTTTATAGGATCTTCGCTGTGCATCGAAAGTGTTATATCAATAATTTTTCATTTGATCATCAAGTTTGCGTCATAAATTTGGCAGAACGGTTTAAAGCGTCATTAATCAATTGGATCAATGTATGACTAACATAGGGCCTGGAAGTCAAATAACCGATTACAATTAATGATTCGGTCGCCCACGGTAGATCAATGCCCAATCAAAGCGAATTCCAATGGCAAGGAGATTTTTATAATTACTTTAATAAGTCACTAAAATATCATCTGATTTATTCTGTGCTTTTTCCTATTCAATGGGTTGATACGCAAGTAGCAAGCATCATAGTAGTGAGCTGAGTTAAATTTTTAATAAGATTTGCTGTAAAAGTAAAATAAAATTCAAGAAAGTCAGAGAACAACGTGGGTGGGGGAGGGAGACGGGGGAAGGAAGATCAGGCGCAGGTGAGCGCCGCATTTCCTTACTTCCTTCGCCACATAACCGAGGGCCTTACTCATAACTCGCCACAACAGATATCGAAGATTATTCAAAATATGTCCATTTAACCAGAATATGTGCAAAGCTATCAATTGATGAAGTGTAAACGTAGAAGAAATTTAAGAATCCGTGATAACATTTTCTATCGTTCTCACGAATGTATCTGACAAACCTCCAGTTTTGGTTCGAACCTAGTAATAAATATATTCATCCAATGGTTGACGCACGACCGGACCCACAATAGTAAAATCCTGCTACCTATGGCCACCGTCACGCTAGGTTTCTTCAAGGAACTTTTTGCTAATTTTGTAGTCATTTTTATCAGCTTCTGAGAGTGAATACTCAGGTGTTACAAAGTTTGCGTAAAGCTAAGAAGACGCGTTTGCTGTCAGTTCGCTGTAGTTTGGCTGAAAATCATCACTTAACAATTTTTCATCAAATTTGAACAAGAAAGCGCAATCAAAAATTGTTGACGATGGAGTAGCTGAAATTCGTTTATAGGGAAACGGGTTATGAGTTAGAGATTAAGGAGGCGCTCACTTGAATTCATCCATTTTTTCCAGACAATTATGGAGCTCTTCCTTTGCGGTTTTTAATGCAGCTTCGTCCTTTTCACATCTCGCTTTCGCCTCACGTTTTGTCCTTTCAAGGGTTTTTTCCAAATCTGAGATCTGAAATAGCTTGTACTTAATTAATCACATCTACTGAATAAATTTCAGTAGAGAAAATTCTCGCACCGTTTCTTGAAGGAGGACGATGCGTTCACGCACGGTGGCGTGGTCTTCAGCTGCCAGTGCGAGAACCTTCTGACGCTCTTGTTCCGCTCTCAACAAAGCGCTGTCTCTCTCCCTATTCAAGCATAATTCGTCAATTTTAAGCAGCAATAAACCATAAAACATATTTTGTCTTTCAGGAATTGGTAGTGGTCCCTTAAGTTAAGTGCAGTTTGGTGATAAATTTTTTAACTGTTCAATGATGCTCAACGTGAAGTTAGTGTCCAAGGGAAGATGTGATTAGGAAATTTCTCCCCTCTGCAAAGCTCATACTGCATTCGAACTTTCTTCCCGTCATTATTGAAATAATGAGTTACCCCGATTTATTTGACTTAATATGACTTGCTGTTTTGCAAATGCCGTTTTCTGTTGAACTTGAATCAAGTTTTGGTACACTAACAAAATCGAAAAAATAAAATGAAGAAAAGCGAAAACTCAGGCCATGCTAAAATTCAAAGCTGTTCAGTGTCCAAATGATACAATAAAAGAATAAAGTTGAACATTAGCCAACACATCGTGAAGGGAAAGTTGAATTTGAACTACTCACTTACTGTATGCAACTCAAATTGTTATTGACTTAGTAAGGGAGGAATCAGTTTTCAATCCAAATGGCAGAACCGAGCAATTTTATCATGCAAAATAGTGGAAATAAATCTACTTCCACGTGGTGCCCCCTGGGCAACGTATACTCATACGGCAGAAGTCTATCACTCGGCAGTTGACTTCTGACTTCAAACTACCATCACTCCACTCTATGCCATATTCGACTATTTCCACAGTACTCACCTTACTGTATGTCATATTCGACTACTTCCACAGTACTCACCTCATTGTATGTCATATTCGACTACTTTCACAGTACTCACCTCAACCGTATGTCATATTCGACCCCTTCCACAGTACTCATCTTACCTCGACTATTTGTCATATTTGACCCCTTTCACAGTACTCATCTTACCTTGTCATATTCGACTACTTTCACAGTACTCACCTCACCTTCTGTATCTACCTTTGTGTTTGTCTCTACCTTTGTGTTTGTCTCTTACATCTTTGAAACACTCTACCTTTGTGTCTGTCTCTTTTACATCTTTGAAACACTCTTCAAACTTTGTGTCTGTCTCTTTTACATCTTTGAAACACTCTTTTGTTCCCCCCCCCTCCCCCTCTCGACTTTTTTCACTTTGATGTTTTCCACCTTTGTGTTTGTCTCTTACATCTTTGAAACACTCTTCTGATCCCCCCTCTCGAATTTTTTCGATTTGATGTTCCTTCCTCTCTGTGAAGTCTGAAGTCAACTATGGGCCTATGATAACTATCAAAACGCCTGCCATTTGATATAAATAAAAGGACTAATGATAGCTATCAAAACGCCTGCCATTTGAAATAATTAATGATAGCTATCAAAACGCCTGCCATTTGAAATAAATTGTTGAGAACTGAGTAAACCTCCACATGTGCGTGTCGGGTTATTTGCGCTTTATATCGTGCGCTTGGTTTTCTGTTTTTGAATACTCCATAACATTTAAATTAATTTCTCTTTGTGTGGTACTTATAAATCGTGCTCCCGTTTGGCCTGGCCTTCCCTCTCTCCTCTCTTCCCAATTACAACAAAATAATAAAAAAAAGATAGACGACAATACTATGCTCAATTCGCAGATGAAGCCCTACAAATAGGAATAGCGGGAGGTCCATTTTAATTATAACTAGTATGAGGCATATCATGACCACCCAGTGGAATTGATTTGAACACCGCGATGTCTGCGCCACCTTCACGCTCGTATATCAATGTTCTCGGCATGGGGTGCACCCTGGACAACGTATACTTAAACGGCAAAAAATCTATAAACCGGCAGTTGACTTCTGAGTTCAAACTACCATCACCCCACTGTATGTCATATTCCATCACTTCACAGTACACACTTCACCTTTTTTCTACCTTTACGTCCGTCTCTTTTACATCTTTGAAACATTCTTCTGTTCCCACTCCCCTCTCTACTTTTTCACTTTGATGTTCCTTCCCCTCTCTCTGAATCCTGAAATTAACTAATGGGCTAATGATAACAATCAAAACGCCTGCCATTTGATATAAATAAATTAAAATTATTACAAGATATGAGAGATGATAAAAATTTTGAGCTGTTTGTAATTCCTATTTATTTATGATCAAATATAACTTCAAGAAAGCATTCTAATAGTCTTAGCTTGATCGAAATCAGAAATAGCATAGATTTGAATTACCAAACAATTTTACATGGAATAAGCCCTCAAACGCCACAATATTGCCCCCATTAAATTTCTTCGATATGTGGTTCGAGTCACGGGTTCTGTGCTCAGACACTTTCATGGTGTTGTGGAATTGCAATGATAAAAGGATTCAACTGGTTCACAGTAAATTAGGCAAAAGGAACTTTTTCGATCGGAATGGCTACAAGTAAATTTGAACCCAGACTTTTCCCTGTAATAGC